TTGGCGGCCCGGGGCTCATGGATTCGGATCCCAGGCATGGACCTATGCACCACTCATTGAGCCATGCTGTGGCAGCATCCCACATACAAAACAGAGGACGACTGGCACAGATGTTAGCTCAGCAACAATCTCCCTCAAGCAAAAAGAGGAAGATTGGCAAGGGATGTTTGCTCAGGGCCAACCTTCCTCACTAAAACAAACAAAAGAGCAAGAACCCAGGAATGGCAGAATGGACAGAGTCAAAGGCATGACTGGAGAAGCTGGGATTAAACAGGAAGTGAGACATCCCCTCGACTAAAACCAAAGGAAAGAGAATAATGACGGTAAAGGGGAAGATAAATTTGTAGATGGGGGGGGACAGAGAGTTGATGATAGAGATCATTCCAATAACCAATTTTCTCACATATGACTTTTCATTTATTATGACAAAGGAGTTGGTAAGCAAGTGATTCTTCAGAATAAATCCAATCTGAATTGTCACAAATAAGAAATTAGATGATATTATACAGTATTAGATTAGAGTCAAAGCATGAATTTAGACAAAGTATGTTCTGTGCTATTTCCCCAAAGCCAGTATAGTATGTATTTTTGATCAGCCCTAATAGCCCAAACACAGTAGGAAAAAAGACATAGGACTAGAGTTAGCAAATTTCTTCCATAAAGGGCCAGACAGTAAATACGTTTTGGCTTTGCAAGCCATATAGCCTCTATTACAACTACTCAACTCTTATCACTATAGCATGAAAGCAGCAATAAACAATACATAAACAAATGGGTATAACTGTATTACAATAAAACTTTATTTACTGATGAGTGGATTTGGCCCATAGGTCTCCAGTTTGCTGACCCTTGTTCTCTAGGCTGAGAACACTACAAAAGACATAAAGGAGAAGAAGGAAGCGTGAGGAAAAATGGAATAAGGAAGTAGAAGAGAAGCCACAAAACTAAAATACAGTTGAGTTGGGGTATTAAATCAAAGAGCAAAATACGAATAAAAGAGCAATAGGAAGAGCAGGAAGATAATGAAAAGAAAAAAGATGAGAAAGAGACAGTGGAAAGAGACAGCAAACCAAGTAAAAAGCAGGCAGAGATGATATACTATTTAAGGCAGACAGATGCAGAGACAAAGGCAGCTGATGCCCTAAAAAATAGGTAGCAAGATGAAGAGGGGAAAATGAGAGCATCTCAGATCTGTCTGCACTGGAATTCAAATAAAGAATAAAACACACTAATTTTCTAGTGGTAATATGATGGTCTCTTCTAATAATGTGTGCAAAAGGAATCCACAGTTTACAAAACATAGAGCTACTTTTCATTTTGCCCATAAATCAAACTGGTACATATATAACATTCAAGAGATCAAATGAAACTTACTCACTGTATCATAAGAAAATATCAACTAATTCTAGGTCCCTTATTCATTTGCACATGTGTATGACTACGACCACATAAAATTCACTGAAATCAGTGAAGTTAGTATTAAGAACTTGCCACATTTACCTTACTAACTTTAAAAAGCTTCGCCCCAAATAAAGCCAAAGATCAAAAAAAGAAAAGAATCTTGAACAATATAATAATCTGCATATTTATACTGTGAGAGAATTTTGCTTTTTATTTTTTGCTTTCTTTGTGGGGAAATATTTAAGGTAAATGCAGACTTATTCTGACATACCTCGGCTAAACAACAAACGAGACCACATACTTTGTCACTACAGTACAATGCTTAATAACATGACTTGGGGTCAGCGAGTGCTGAGTTTGCGTCCTCACTTTACCAAGTCACTTAACTGTGTCTCTATTTCCTCATCTACAACGTGCAGATAAGAATCATACCCACTTCAGAAAGATGTAGTGATGATTAAATGAAAAAAATACATGTAAAACATTTAGCACAGAGCCTGAAACATAGAATGTACACATAAATTTAGATAATAGTATCAACCTTAAGACTTTGACAGTAGTATTACAGAAGAGTATTATAGGATAAAAGCTCAGAAAGAAAACAAATTCCCCTTTTCTTTTAGGAAGCTCCAATGTAATATTAGTAGTTTTGTTCTTATCATTCATTCACTTCTGTTAATCCTTAAAAAACCCCTCAATCCATCTGCCTATTTAAGACGTAGAACAGTCGTATCAAACTGATGCCAGTGCAGACTACTCAAGATCATCTCCACTCTGAGAGAGAAAGAGCACTGTGAGGCAAAGAAACAAAGCACAAATCCTCAAGACCCACAGAACAGCCATTCCCAGGACCTTATCATTGAAACCCACAGCTCACATCCCTGACTGCACCTCAGAATCACATACCCAAAGCTTCACCCAGGCTAATTATAATTGAGCCACAACTTCTAGAAGTGAGAACTAGAGACTTTTTAAAACTCCGTAAGTGACTAAAATGTGAACCCAACATTAAGAATCATTGGTTAAACCCTACCTTCCTTTATTCAAGGGGACTAGAAATCTGAGAAAGTCTTTAGCACAAAATAATATAAATCTAAAAACAGTAGTAAATGCCTTAATTTTTGGAACCAATGAACCAAGCCAATTAATTACTCTAAAAAGGTTTCTCTATACTAATAGTATCTCCAAAATAATACTTTTAAGGAGGGCAACTTCTGCCAGGATAGTGTTAAGAATCTGGCTTAAGAGACCTGAAATCCTAAACACATGACTTAGCACTATTTTCAGGATACTATGCAATGAACACAATGGTATAATCCACTAAATCATTACAGTCTTTAAATAAAATACCTGAAGTTACTCCTCTGTTGGATGTCCTCATCAAGAAAACTGTACTTTTATGTATATAGTAAGATATGTCCATCCCCTTACGAATACACTGAACACTGTCAAAGCTGTTGCTCTGATCTATATTTTCTCAGTTTACTACAATGAACACAAATTACCTGAGAAATAAAGACATAACAAAACAATACACAAAATAAAAATTTAAAGACATTAATTTTGAAGAGGATCGAAGAAGGGATACCATTAATCTAAGTAATATTTACCTTTCCAAATTTGGGAAATGCTAATTCACTTTAAGAACAAAAAACAAAGCATATTGTGAATGGCTGTTAGCTAAACTGCCTGGTACTCAACAGAGTAGGAAACATTCTGTTGTTGTGGCCAATACTTTTTCTAGAGTGCTATGTACTAAATGCAACTAAAATTTTATTTTCCATTTGGCTCATGATCCAAAGTCAATTTTGAAATTTAAAACAATGAAATACTTCAACAGTATAAGTATAAACAATTTTGTGCTTCTAGGCATAAACAAGATCAACTCCAAAAGGAGCAACTAAAAAAAGACTTGTTTCCTTGTACAGGCCACTGAAGGATTCTTAGACAGAGCTGTGAATCAAAGACATGGATGTTTAGTAGGATAGAAGAATAGAATGCAGCGCTTTCATCAACACCCCAGAGCAGTTAGAGTACCTAGCACTGCTAGCTTTTCAAACAGCAAGCTAAGGTAGGTAAGAACCTTGATAACAGGTCCAAGAGAAAGGCTTTAACTTCCTGGTGGCTTATAATTTTTAAATAACAGTGTAGAAAAATCAGTGCAACAACAAAAACAGCTACTGGTATAGACAGAATCATGAAAATAAAAAATTGTTATGTGACAATTTGCAATCACCACTGTATCACCACTTTTATATTCTCAATACATAAATTCATACTTCGAATGTTTTTTTTTAATATCTATGCTCTACTTCCTTACCCTTTTTTATCTTCATTAGACAATTGTTTTCCATCCACAGTTCTCTGCTTTTCTCCCTTAGCCCTGTGCTTTGATTTTTTCCAGATTTAAAACTAAAGCATTTATAGAACTATAAGACTAATAAAACTATATAAGCATTCTTTATGAGCATTACAAAACTAAAAATTGATAACTAAAGCATTGTAGGCCAAATAGGACAAGAAATTTTCAGCTGAGTATGATCAGTAGCATTCTTGACCATGAAACTACAGAAAATCCCTTACAAACCATTTGTGTGTGTGCGCACGAGGAAGACTGGCCCTGAGCTAACATCTATTGCCAATCTTCCTCTTTTTGCTTGAGGAAGATGGTCCCTGAGCTAACATCCGTGCCCATCTTCCTCTACTTTGTATATGGGACGCCACCACAGCATGGCTTGATGAGCTGTGTGTAGGTCTGCACCTGGGATCTGAACCTGCAAACCCCAGGCTGCCAAACAGAGTGTGCAAACTTAACTACTAAGCCACCAGGCCACCCCCAAACTAGTTTGTTTTTTTTTTTTTTGAGGTCATATTGGTTCATAACATTGTATAATTTTAGGTGTATGATACTTTATATCAGTTTCTCTATAGACTGCATCATGCTCACGCCCAATAGTCTAGTTTTTATCTGTCACCATACATACATACCCCTTTGTCCCTTTTGCCCATCCCCCTACTCTCTTCCCCTCTGGTAACCATTAATCTGTTTCCTTTATGCATGTGTTTCTCTATCTTCCACATACAAGTGAAATCATATGGTGTACAAACTATGTCTTAATAGTATACAAACTCTCATTATTTATCCTACTAAAAGTACCACAGAACCTTCTTCTGACATTTTAAAGATTTTTTTTCTTTTTTCTTTTTTTTTTCCCCTCCTCAAAGCCCCCCAGTACACAGCTGTGTATTTTAGTTGTGGGTCCGTCTAGTCGTGGCATGTGGGACGCCGCCTCAGCATGGCTTAATGAGTGGTGCCATGCCCACGCCCAGGATTCGAACTGGCGAAACCCTGGGCCACCGAAGCAGAGCGCACAAACTTAACCACTCAGCCACGGGGCCAGGCCCCTTCGTCTGACATTTTAAATATTTTCCCAAAAAAATGTATTAAAATTCCCATTTGTCTTAATCAGGTTATTCTAAAAAGCCCATATTTCTTAAAGAAAACAAAAAACAAAAAAAGTCTGTATGATCAATGTAGAGAGTCCTTGCTTGATTAAATATTATAAACCATGAAGCATATTTAGGAAATCAAAACTCACCTCTTCTTGCATAACTGGAGTCCATATCTTTAAATTGTACCACAACAAAGTCTGAACACTTGAACAAAATACTCTCCATTATTTCTTCACGTTTTGGCCCCGAACTGGATTCTGTACTTTTCTCATGTGCAGCGTCAAGTACTAAATCACACTAAAATGAAAAACATGAGTAAATATTCAATACATTTATAAACTAAAATTTTTCAGAAATTCTTCAGCACTTCAAGGTAGTATTTCTTACATGACTTTGGCAAAAATAATCTATCTCAAGAGAACCTTATAATCATACCTTTCTCTCAGAAATATGATCTATTATCCATTCCATCATTCAAAAATCCTCTCAACTAAAAGTTGGTCCTTGCTACCATGGTCTGTCCTAAGCACATTAACAGTGATGAATAGAAAAACAACAATCTACTCTATCCCTCTTCTAGTCCACAATGCTTGAAAAGACCAAAATATTTTAATAAGCACATAGAGCAAGTCTTTTTGATTAAACAGTCTACAAAATAACCAGTGTTTGAAATTGAGGAGCAAAATCATTCAAAGTGGTGGTAAAAAGTGCTTCAAAGGTAAAGCACTGAGCAAGGAAATGTGACAAACATATCCACCTCATAACTAGAAAATGCTAAATCAGAAACTAATAGATAAGGGACAGCCCAGTGGCGCAGCGGTTAAGTGCACATGTTTCGCTTTGGCAGCCTGGGGTTCGCCGGTTTGAATCCTGGGTGCTGACATGGTACTGCTTGGCAAGCCACGCTGTGGTAGGGGTCCCACGTATAAAGTAGAGGAAGATGGGCATGGATGTTAGCTCAGGGCCAGTCTTCCTCAGCAAAAAGAGGAGAATTGGCAGCAGATGTTAGCTCAGGGCTAATCTTCCTAAGGAAGGAAGCAAAGGAAGGAAGCAAGGAAGAAAGAAAGAAACTAATAGACACCGTCAGGAAGCCATAAAAACACCATAGTTGATGATTCATGAGGTTTTATATTTAGCAAAAAGGAAAAGAGTGAAAATTACCTTAGGACTGTATGTTTTAAAAACTCCTTCATATATACCTCCGTTTTTCACTTGTACTTCACATTTGGATCCCTAAAAACACACAATTAATTCATCAAAGAAACAGTGTGCTACCCAGTCATGGGGGATAATTGTTTTCACTTTACTTTTTACAGCTCACCAGGCTTCATTCAACATGTTAGGTATGCAGTAACAGAACAATAAAACATTTTAAAACATTAGCAATACACTGAATTTTCAAAATTCTTCAGGAGGCCCTGCCCAGAGTTTGCAGTATGAATTTAAATACTGAAAGTAAGTATTTCTGACTCTAGTTTTATTAGGTTGACAATATAATGCACTAAAGACAATCAACTACTAATATTATTTTGTACACAGCAGGGTTAACAAGAAAGCTTTTATAGTGAGTTATAATAGCCTGGGATAGAGTCCTAATCTGTTTTTTCTAAACCATCCTTGATTAAACATGACCTAAGAAATGTTACTTTGAGAATCATTCATCCACACTTTTACTTCATGAAGTTACTTTATTCCACTCCCAAGGCAGTTTCTCCCTCCCCAATAAACTGAAAACTTACAACAACTGATGTAAGTATATGAACCATCCTCATATTTGCATAGATTCCATCAAAAGAAATCTGGAATATTAAGAAAACACATTAATAGCAATCAGCATTTACCCTTGTATATGTATTAAAATTAGTATTTATTGTTACAAAATGTTTAGTCAGGTTTATAATACCTTACATGTGTTAAAGGAAGATTTGGTTTACTACAATCATTTACTTCCTTAGAGAATAAAAGCTTAAGTTTTCAAAAGGGAAAGGAGTTATACCAACTAACAATGTTTCGATTATACATAAGAAAAACAGTAAAAGTGAATTTCCATATATGAGGAAAGACAAATCCACAAGAAGAGAAGGCAGATCCAAGGCTGGCGAGTAGGGGAAGGAGAGCTCACTACAATTGGTACGAGGGATTCCTGGAGGGGATGGAACTGGGCTATTATCTTGACTGTGGTGGTGGTTAAACAATTCTATGTGTCAAAACTCACAAATCTGTCCACTAAATAGGGTTAAGCATACCTTAATAAATAAATGGGGTGAAGTGTAGGGCACCTTTGTAGCAGACCCTTGACTATCTTCTCTCAGCAGATCTGAATCAATGACAGTGCTCTAAGGTCTAATCAATCAACCACTCCTTATTACATACTACACAAGCGTGTGTTCTCCTGATCTAAAGAAGAAAATTTATCCACAAAAGGCAAAGTCTCAAAAATTAGTGACAGCTTCTCATTTATTTCTGCTATCATGTGGAACTTATGCCATCCACCTTTCATGCCCAGTTTAATTTCACTGAGAAAGTTCTGAAATTTGAAACCAGAAGGCCCTTTCCAAGAGAGAACAATAAAAGGAATAAAAGATAGCACATTAATCCAAAATCAAAAACCAAAGAGCTCTGCAAATTCCAGCCCTGGAGTTCCACCGATCTTTAGGGAGTTACTCATTTAGACTGGCCTTTAGTCATTTACAAGAGAATAAACGACATTATTCTTAGGCATGAAAAATACTATTTACAGATAATTATACATTTTATACAGAAAGTTATCAAAAAACAACACATACAGCTAATAATTTTATATCAAACAGTATTGATCTATAAAGGTTATCTGAGATATAAAATTCAAGAGAAGGGAATTTTTTTTTGCCTTGGCTTTTGGTCCATGGTTTAAAATCACATTTTAGTTACCAATTTTTCTAAAGAAAGAACAGTGAAGTTACTCACCATAGACTGAGGCAGGCCTTTGTTACTGTTTCGACCTCTGAAAAGATTAAATATTATGCTTATTAAATTCAACAGGTCAAGCAAGCTAAAGACTACTTTCAAATTTAAAATATCTTATAATTCCATTCCAATACAGCACCAGCTATCTGTGAGGAGGGCTCATCTAACAGTAAGTATAAAGGCTACCTATGTATGGCTCTTTCTGCATTTTGCTGGCTCAGAGGCCAAGAACAGGTATAGGTCGTGGGAGGCAGGGACGAGGAAAGAATGAACGTGATCAAAATCAAATAAATGAAGTAAAAATAAAAACAGCCTATTGGAAGAAATAACTAATACTAAATATAATAAGCTTTACTCCAAAAGTAACCAATCACTCTGTTACATAAAGCTACTCAGGAACAAAATATAGAATCTACTCCTCATTTAACTGATATATTTGACTGATATCAAGTCACCTCCCGTATTTTTCCCTTGCCTCCAAAAATAGGTACTGTATTTACAACTGCAGAAAAACGCTTGAAAATAAGTTAAATCACTCAAAGCACTTTCACTTCTAAAAAGTGCCACTGTCGGGATCTACGTAGCAAGTGCCTTTCTCTGCCAATCCCCTTCCCTCTGAAACAATGCAGTACCCTGAGGTCGGCTGTCCAGTAATTTCCAGTAACTCGGATGCTATTTCCAACTGAATTTAATTACAGGCATAATAAAGCCTAAGGCCTGTTCCATAGGAAAAGATTAGGCCCCTTAGGAAATGATAAAAACATTAATAAAGTGAAATGTTACAGTCCTCAGAAACATTAGTTACTATGGAATAAAAGGGGTGCAATCTCACTTTAATAGAATAAATCACAACACTCAAATTAAGCCACAAACTTAAAACAGTCAAGGAAAAGAGTAATTCACGTTCCCAAAGTCTAGCGATATGAATGGTACCCATTTCCAGAAAAGTAGCACTGATCTTAACATTCCAAGGTCAAGGCTGCTTCATTCTCCAATTCTGTCACCTAGTATCATCTAGAAATTAACGTCTTGTAGCAAATCACCTCTGAGATTCCTTCCATTTATAACATTCTGATTCTCTAACTCTTTGCCTCACATACAGCACAAAGAGAGAAATTCCTAAAGTCTAAGGAATATGACCAGTAAGTGATCACTTACAGAACTTAGCACAAACCAGACACTATGGTAAGTACTATGTCAAATCCCCCACCCCCGCTTCACAGGCCAGGAACTAGACTGTATGTAGCAGTGCTAAGTGTCCTGACTACCATCGTCCCGTTCACACACAGTAGAGCTGGTATTTGAACCAAGTTCATCCAAGGTTAGGCTTTTCATTTCTTATGCTGCCTCTCTGAAATTGCATCACAAGGAATAAACTAACTTTACAATTAAGCCTAATCGAATTTCTACATTTTTTTCAAACATCATGAGTTAATTGGGTTTTTCTATTTTTTTTTTGTAATCTGTAGCCAAAGACTATACAATGGCTAAATTCTGCTTAGAAGGATTATCTTTTTGTGTGTGTGAGAGGAAGATTTAGCCCTGAGCTAACATCTGCCGCCAATCCTCCTCTTTTTGCTGAGGAAGACTGGCCCTGAGCTAACATCAGTGCCCATCTTCCTCTACTTTATATGTGGGACGCCTACCACAGCATGGCTTGCCCCGGATCCGAACCAGTGAACCCCAGGCCACCAAAGCAGAACGTGTACACTTAGCCACTGCGCCACTGGGCGGCCCCTAGAAGGATTATCTTATCCTAGTGATTGCTGAGATGCCACAGTTAAAAAACTTAAACAAATGCCAATACTTTAAGCGCACTTATACTCTTTGTGGCCTCCCTACAAAAACATTTAGGAGTTTAAAACATAAAACTCCTTTACACAAGTCACACTTCTTAAAATTGATTATACAGTTATATCTTTGACCAATAAAGAGCAATTGTTTTGACAACCCAGTTTACTTAGAACAAATTGTTCAACAGGGAAAATTACGACTCATAGTGGTACCTGACGGTAGAGTGTAGAAACCACTGATTTCCACTGATGGACCAGGTAGTTGGACACCCAGGGGAATGTCAGCATACCACAGTAGCATTTTCTGAAACTGGTAAAAGTCCAAATCCATTTTTGTTTTTTTCTTTTTAGATTCACTCAGATTATGCTTTACTTTTTATTTTTATTTTATTTTTTTGTTTTTGGTGAGGAAGATGGTCCTTGAGCTAACATCTGTGCCAATCTTCCTCTATTTTGTATGTGGGATGCCCCCACAACACGGCTTGTTAAGCAGTGTGTAGGTCCACACCTGGGATCTAAACCTGTAAACCCAGAGCTGCCAGAGCAGAGTGAACTTAACCACTATGCTACCAGGCCAGACCCTTAAATTTTTTTCTTTAGTATTTTAGGACAAAGTATCCTAATATTTCATATAGTAACAAAAACAAAAAACACATAGAATCTCAAAAAAAGCCAAGATCATATTCTAGTCCAAAAGTGATCAGATGGATCAGATTTAACAAAACAACAATATCCAGGATTCTAAGCTTTTAATAGTGACTATGAGATTAACATGTAATTTAAAGTGCCAGTCAAATTAATACAAGGAAACTTACAAAAATAATAGTAAAGAGTTTATGTTGCTTCCAAATAATACAGGAGGGAGGAAACAGATGGGGTTGTAAATGAAACAAGACTGGCATGAGCTGACAACTGCTGCAGCGAGGTGACAGGCGTGCAGGGGCTCTTTATATCATTCTGCCTGCTTTTTACAATTTCACTAACTCAAAAAGAAAACAAGTGCCTTCTGATGTGGTGCAATCGGAGCCTGGATTTAATCAAGTTTATAGATCTACCAGTTTATAAGAAATATGGGGTAGAAGAATATATAAACTGATACCACGAGGTTACAAATCAGTTAAATCCACAAAGTGGTAAATTCAACGTAACAAATGATAGTTTCTTCAAAAAATAAACGGTGTGAGAAGAAAAAAAACAGCATGAAGGCAGGGAAAATTATTATAAATTTAAAGACACACATAAATCAAAAGCAAAGTGTGACTTCCCAAACCAAACCTTACTATACAGCTACAATCAAAATAGTGTGGCACTGGCATAAGGACAGACGTAAAAACCAATGGAATAGAAGAGAGCGCCCAGAAATAAACCCTCACATACGTGGGCAACTGATTTTTACCAAGAAGGTCAAGACCATTCAATGGGGAAGGGACAGTCTTTTCAACAAATGATTCCGGAAAAACTGGATATCCACGTGCAAAAGAACGAAGCTGAACCCTTACCTTACACCATATACAAAAATTAACTCACAATGGGTCAAAGAGCTAAATTTAAGACTAAAATTATAAAACTCTTAGAAGAAAACATGGGAAAATCTTCATGACCTTGTATTTGGCAATGATTTCTTAACTGTGACACCAAAAGCATAGGCAACCTAAGACAAAAAAAAAAATAGATAAAAAAGACTTCATCGAAATGAAAAACTTTTGTGCAAAGGATACTATCAGAGAGTGAAAAGACAACCCACAGAAAAGGAGAAAATATTTGCATATCATGTATCTGATAAGGGGTTAATATCTAGAATACATAAAGAACTCCTATGTCTCAACAACAAAAAATTATACAACCCAATTCAAAATGGGGAAAACAAGTGAACAGACATTTCTCCAAATAAGTTATACAGCTGGCCAATAAGCACATGAAAAGATGCTCAACATCACTAGTCATTAGGAAAACACAAATCAAAACCACAATGAGTTACCACTTCACCCCCACTATGATGGCTATTATCAAAAATGTGGAGAAATTGGAACCCTTGTGCACTGCTTGTGGGAATGTAAAATAGCACAGCTGCTGAGGAAAAGAGTATGGCAACTCCTCAAAAAATTAAACATAGAATTACCACATGCTCCAGCAATTGCACTTCTAAAGATATACCCAAAATAACTGAAAGCAGGGATTTGAAAAGATATCTGTATACCAATGTGCAAAGTAGCATTATTTACAATAGCCAGAAGGTGAAAAAAAAAAAATCCATTGATGAATAAATGGCTAAACACAATGGGGTACATTCATACAATGGAATATTATTCAGCCTTAAAAACAAATGAAGTTCTGATACATGCTACAACCTGGATGAACCTTGAAGATACGCTAAGTGAAATAAACCATACACAAAAGGACATCTACTGCATGATTCTACTAATATAAGGTACATAGTATAGTCACATTCATAGACACAAGAAAGGAGAGTGTTGGATGCCAGGGGTTGGGGGATGGTTGGAATAGGGAGCAACTGCCTAATGGGTACAGGGCTTCCTTTTGGGGTAAAAATATTTGGGAACTCAACAGAGGCGCTTATAGCACAATAATGTGAATGTACTTAATGCCACTGAACTGTATATTTAAAAATGGTTAAGGGGCTGGCTCAGTGGTGTAAGAGTTAAGTTCACGTGCTCCACTTCGGCAGCTTGAGGTTCGCAGGTTCAGATCCCAGGTACAGACCTAGCACCACTTGTCAAGCCATGCTGTGGTGGCATCCCACATAAAATAGAGGAAGACTGGGACAGAGGTTGGATCACTGACAATCTTCCTCAAGCAAAAAAAAAAAAAAAGAGGAAGATTAGCAACAGATGTAAGCTCAATATTTCTCACAAAATAAATAAATGAAATTTCAAAAATAAAAATGGTTAAAAGAGTAACTTTTATGTTGTATATATTTTATCACAATTTAAAAAACCCCACCAAACAAATAAGCTCAGATTCTTTTCCCAAAGGAACTTCATTTGCAATAGTAGGCAGAGAAAGTTCAGGCCTAGGGGTGCTCCCAAAGCCAGTGGAGGTTGGTAGGAGACTGATAGATTCACTGGAGATACAGGCTTAACTGGATAAAAAAGAAGATCCAACTACGCACTGTCCATAAGAGAGACACTCTAGATTCAAAGATAAAAGAGACTCAAAGTAAAAAGATGGGAAAAGATATGTCATATCACACAAACAGGACAAGAAAGCTAAAGCGGCTGTAATAACATGAGGTAAAATAGAGTTTGAAACAAAAAAAAATGTTACTAGAGATATAAAGGGACTTTTCTTTTTTTAAAGATTTTATTTTTCCTTTTTCTCCCAAAGCCCCTCAGTACATAGTGGCACATTTTTCAGTTGTGGGTCCTTCTAGTTGTGCTATATGGGATGCTGCCTCAGCGTGGCTTGATGAGCGGTGCCATGTCCGCACCCAGGATCCAAACTGGTGAAACCCTGGGCTGCCGAAGCAGTATGCACGAACTTAACCACTCGGGCCACCAGGCTGGCCCCAAAAAGGGACATTTTATAATGATAAAAGGATCAATCCATCAGGAAGAAGAAAAAGGCATTCCACCAGGACTCTCTGTGCCCTTTCACACAGTTCCTGAGCTACTGAAGATGAACTCTTAAAGAAATTACCTTTGCCCTCTTGACCCAGAGCCATGCTCCTCCACCTAAAGAGTTCATCTCATGCTCCACCTCCTTGTCATCCTATCAACCTGACAACTGAATTCCAACTAACAAATGTAGAAGGAATGATAGAATTAAAAGGTTGCCATTTGGTAAGCACCACAGTAGTAACTGTTTCAGGCAAACATCACCAATGGATGCTAAATCCAGTAAAGTAGAAACAGGACATTTATATAGTCACGAAGTAACTCCTCACAAAGTACTGATTAATGACAGTGTTTAAAAAATAACTTTATGTTGGGGCTGGCCCCGTGGTCGAGTGGTTAAGTTCACGCGCTCTGCTGCAGGCGGCCCAGTGTTTCGTTGGTTCGAATCCTGGGCGCGGACATGGCACTGCTCATCAAACCACGCTGAGGCAGCGTCCCACATGCCACAACTAGACGGACCCACAACGAAGAATATACAACTGTGTACCGGGGGCTTTGGGGAGAAAAAGGAAAAAAATAAAATCTTTAAAAAAAAAAAAAATAAAAATAACTTTATGTTAAAGGAACCTAGCAGACACAATCCTAATCAAGTGATCAAAGTTAACAGCACCAGCAATGCAACATATGTATACCATGCACCTCCTGATATCCTGCAACGAGAATACATGTATCACTTCTCTGGTATTCTTGCCAAAAACGCACAATCTGAATCTAATCAGCAGGAAACATCAGACAACCGTAGTTGAGGGACATTCTACAAAATAACTAACCTGTAATCTTCACAAGTGTCAAATCATAAAAGGCAAAGACAGACTAAGGAACTATTCAGATTAAAGGAGATCAAACAGACATGAAAACTGAATGTAACATAGTCATTCTTCAGTATCCACTTTAGCGGACTGGTTTTAGGACCGCCTCAAATACCAAAATCAACACATGCTCAAGCCTCTTATATAAAATGGTGTAGTATTTACATATAACCTACGTACTTCCTCCTACACACTTTAAATCATCTCTACATGATTTAATCATCCTTATAACACTTATTACAATGTAAATGCTATGTAAATGGTTGTTATACTATATTGTTTCCGGAATAATGACAAGAAAAAAAGTCTGGACAAGTTTAGTAC